ACCAGCTCATACGCATGAAAAAAAAGAAAAAGAAAAAAAAGAACTCTTGAAGTTCTTGATTTAATGAAACAAATACCTCGGCTAAAAGGACAGTTTTGGCTGAAGAACTTGAATGAATTTGGTTGTTGGTTCCAAAGCCTTGATGAAAGCAAACTATACGTCTGGGTCATATTGAGCCGATGAGTTCTGACTTTGGCAATAAATGATGAAGCAAGCTTAGTCGACGTGCTAGATGAAAGAGATAATATAGGTTCTATCCCTCAGTTTGCCGAGGTAATAGAACTTAGGGGGCAGTTGTGGGGACATATTTGTTGGGTAGTCCACGTGGCCGAGGTGCTACGTGGGCAGATCATGTTTGCCGAGATATTTGGGGCACTGCCGAGGTATTCTGCAGCAATACCGGAATCCGAGATAAAGCGGATAAGGGACAAGAGTCCTAGAATGGGAGAAGACTACAGTTTGAGAAAAGATGAGACTCTTAGAAAATTTATCCTAATTCTACTGGGAGTCCAAGATTAGCAGTAATCCTAAGTCCATTAAAGATAGGCTTCTATTGGGACTAGGATTGTGTTGGCTATAAAAAGGAGGCACCCCCATGGGTCTAAGGTATGCTTTTGATATTCTGTCTAGTGAGTTAAACACTATCGGTTATCTTTGAGAGATATTGAGTACTGACTTGATCGTCGGAGTGCCCCCGGGTGGACGAGCCACCGCCGGAAACTCTTCTTTCTGTTGCAGGTCGTTCGGGCTTAATCTATTCTGCCAGTGCTCTCCAGCTGGGTACCTGTTTGGCAGTGTGGTCAGAAAATCACCGACACACTTTTTTTTTTTTTAATTTTTTTTTTTTCAAATTTCTACCTAAATCTACACTCCAAACCCAACTTAAATCAAATTAAAATTACCATGTGTCCTACTAGCCACTTCTCTATCACTCATTGTGATTTGAGCAGTATTAAGCCTGTAGTATATTCAATAAAGAGTACAACCATGAGACAAAAAATGTCCAAAAATTCAGCTTCAGTACCTGAGCCGCAGGGTTTGATTGGAGGATTTGAGAAAAAATTTGAAAAGGAAAAAACAAAAGATAAGTAGAATATAAATAAAATAACCTTACATTTCACCTAATTTCATACATTTTTTTCTTTTTCCTTTTCAAATCTCTCCCTAAATCTCTCAACCAAACACAGGCTAAAACAATTTCCGTCCTCCCAAAGGTAACTGAACCTGAAGCAAACCGTGCTTTCCTCACTCACACTCGGTGCCTCCTGTATTTTTCTATCTTCCCTATACTCTACCAACCCTAGCTAATCAAAGAATAGTCTCACACAATTAATAAAGCCTTACATAGAATGGATTCTGATGGATTTCAGACTCTAACCCAACCCAAATACATGTAAGAAAACAATAATTTTATAGGTCTGCAGAACACCAGACACACATCCAATAAAAACATAACGTTTTGGCAGTTTATATTGAAGGATAGAAACTGCAGATCTTATGTTATTCAATTCTTGTTTGTAGGCAAAGCACTTAATAACATTGTGCTGCATTTACTTGTACATGTCCTGCAAGTACAACAATGGGTGTTCACCAAAACCATTTCTGGTATCAATAATATATCAACTAATTAGCACACATTAAAGTTCAAGGTCCAAATGAAGGCGGCTTCCTAATCTTCGTAGCCTGCTCAAAACTATACGTGATTTCAATGAGTTTAGGCTCAAAACCCTTTAATCCTCCAAAAAAAATACCAAACGGCCTCCCATCGTGATCGTACCCATCTGGAACGCTAATTCCTGGGAAGCCCCCAATTTCAAGCACTCCAGAAACATGTCAGAAATTATATGACAAGGGTGTCACCAATGCATCTAACAAATTATCTTTCATCAACTTCTGGAGTCCATTTTTTGATGCTTCCGTTAAATTTCCCAGCGCTTTCTTTTCCAATTCACCCATCCCATTTGTTTTCTCTGCTTTCAAAAACAAGTCTTGCCCATATTCGTCAATTTTTTCCTGCAGAGCCACCAAACCATATACGATTATAATCTTGTACTGATAGTGATCCTCAATTGTGTACATAATTCATGCTAACAAAGGAGTTTATATTTCTATCGGCCATAAATTTTTTCCCGCAGAGCCACCAAATTGTGTATGATTAGTCTTATTGAAGCGACATTTGGATTGTTTATAGCAAATTGTAAGTGGTAAATTAATCTACTAACCTAATCACGTGTAAAAGAAATAAGTGAATATAAATCAAATACACTAAAACCCAAAACATGTCAAGGGAATTAGTATATTATGCCAATTTCTCCATATGAGAATATAAATCAAATACGCAAAATCCCAAAACATGTCAAGTCAATTAGTATCTTATGCCAGTTTCTCCTCAACAATCTTTAGTTAAAGAGTGAATTCATACAAGTTAGACACTTAGGCGATCATCTGACTAATATCTTACACCAGTATCTCTTTCTTATTTGATCACAGTTTAGCATAAATTAACCTAATTAACAATGTTCAAAGTACAAAGGATCAATTCATTTGCTCAAAATTGCCAATGTTGGAAAGAGATGGTAGTACTTACCAAATCCGAGAATTTCTTGTTGAAGGCTATTGCATCTGCCAATGATCTCACCGGATAAGTGAGTAGCTCTTTGAGATATGCATTTAGAGACAACTTGAACTCAGCCCGCAACACTATGTGTCAATCATTAAACATGGAGTCGATGATGGCATTGAAGTTGGGTATGTCCAGACCTTGTGCCAAAGTTGCACCTCTTTGCCTAACGTTTCACAAGATTTTGAGGTGTAGTTTTGGGATTAAAATTGTCCTTGGAGAAACCAAAGCTAGAAAATGGCAGCAAATAAAAACTCTTGGTGTAATGATTACCTTAATGTGTTGAAATGCAGCTCAAAAGCATGGGAATTTTCCGAGTCGTTGGGGAAACCGAAGAAGGGATAGCTTGTTATCCCTAACCTCTTTCCCCTGAGCCCATTAGCCTTGAGAAATTGCACATAGCCGCCGTGTGGGATGTACTTTGAAGCTTTTCTTGTTGCCACAACATCATGAGGATCGAAACCCACGATGGCGTCAAGCACATAAACAGCATCTGATACTGTCCTGCAGATTGGCCTGCCATGTCCAACATGGTAGAAGTTACAATTTAGGTTCCAATCTACAAACACGAAAAAATTCTCAAAATGTACACAATGAAATACTAGCAACACTGCATATTGCGAAGCATCACATACCCGACTGTGTCTTGTCTAGTTGAGATGGGACGACCCCTCCCCGGCTAGTGAAGCCTACTGTGGGTTTGATCCCAACAACCGAGTTAAAACTCGATGGACATAAGATGAACCCGGCCGCAGGGCTGGCCCTGGGCTAAGGCTGGTGAGGCCTATGCCTAGGGCCCCAAAAATTAGGCCCAAAAAAAGGCCCCAAATTTAGTCTTACACTATATTAAAAATTTAAAATGGCCCAATTCTATTTAATTATTTTAGGCCATTTTAAAGGGGGCCTCAAAAAATCTATTTGGCCCAATTGATAAAAGGCCCAATTAAAAAATATTTATAAGTTTTAGTTGTTAGTCCAATTAAAAAAATAAAATATTAAATATATGTATATGTATTAGTCATTATGTGCTTCAAATCTATGGTTCATTTCCATTGTTATAAGATTTTGTAAGTTGCTTTTAAATGTGTAATTTATTAATTTATCTTGTTCTTTCAGTGCAAAATGTGTTCTAAGACTTATGGAGACTACGTAATTAAATGTTATGAGAATCCAATAGCTCTCTCTCTCTCTCTCTCTCCTGATGTTTGTAAATTGGTTGAAGAGGTATTCATGATTTTAAGTCTTGGTATCTAGGCAGCATGCATTTACAAGGGTTCTTACGTTCTTAGGCAGAGGAAATGCCCTTTTAGTGGAATTCTGCATATATGAAAAACAATTACGACTTTCAGAACTAGCATTTAAAAACAGTAGAATAGTTTGAAAAAGTTGAGATCAAGTACCCATGAATGTTATATGCCTTTGGATCTCATTCCATCAATACTATCAGTATAAGTAAACAGAAGACAATTCTATAGCTTATCTCATTGCATCAATACTAATTTACCGTGCTTTGCATGCCATATTCTATTTGTCAGTTTAGTTCTTTTTGTTCTTTCAATATTTAGCTTTCAATTGATGACTTAGCTCTCACAATGTTGGGGTTTATGAATAACAGGGCAGCAGCACCTGCAGCTAAGAACACAGGTATTCATAAGTAAATACTCGGTGTAATTGACTTACAATATTCACATTGTGTGATTAATGTGTCCTGTTGTGTGGTAATAATGAAAAAGTGAAGTTGATAATACTCTTATTGTGTGATTAATGTGTCCTATTGCTTTTATTGTTGCCCTTTGTAATAATCAATGAGACTTTTCATTATGATTTTAGAAATATTTTAAATCTCTAGCTTTAGATTCCTAAATTAATCTCAAGTGATATATCATAAGTCATGTGACTTCAAAGTTTCATTAAAGTATACTTATCTAATGGATATTTACCGTTTCGTTAAAGTATTTATCTAATGAATATTTACCATGTCATTGGGAGTTTAAAATTGAAGGTCCAAAATGGGAGGTATCATTACTGTAATCGTTAAATTTGGTCACAAATCGGGGCAGTTAAATGTCTTTATCACAATCCAAAGAAAAGTAAATTTCGATGGATTTGAGGCACACTTCAGATTACAGAAATGTCATGGCATTTTGGGTAATTTTCCACAAATGGAAGGGTATGTTCATCCTTAACGTTCCTTGTCCTTCTATAAATAGATTTTGCAAGTATTTTCAGATTTGTGTTTCGCTCTGATCCGCTGTCTGACTCCTTCTCGGACACAATCTCTTCGGTACTCATCTCTCTCTCTCTCTCTCTTATATATATATATATATATATCTATATATAAATCATCATTTCCCATTAAGTGTCTTGGTGCTTTGTCACGTAGGATGTTGACATTTAATTTTTCTTTCATCAGATCCTTAGCTGTTGAGATGGCGTCAACAGCTGGAACCACAGGATGGTTAAGAGGAAAAGTTAAAGTTGTTCCTTCTGGTGATAGTTTGGTGATAATGGGGAGCACCAAGGCGGAAATTCCCCCTGAGAAGACAATTACTCTGTCATCCCTTATTGCCCCTAGATTGGTTAGTCTATTTAACTAGCATTACATGTTTCATATTTTGTACATTTTCTTTATCAAATTTTTATTTCTTTATTATACATCCCTCCCCTCATTTACATTCTAGGCTCGTAGAGGCGGTATTGACGAGTCATTTGCCTGGGAGAGCAGAGAGTATTTAAGGAAGCTTTGTATAGGAAAGGTGCTCATTTAAATGCCTTTAGCTATGATTGCAACATATCAGTTTTCTAATGAACGAGTTGGAATTATCGCATCTTACCCAATTTATCTTTTTGAATAGGATGTCACTTTTAGAGTGGATTATACTGTACCAGCCATAGGGCGAGAATTCGGCTCAGTTTTCCTCGGCGATAAGAATGTCTCATTGATGGTTGTTGCTGGAGGCTGGGCAAAGGTTATATCACTTTTTCTTTGGTGCATACATTTCCAACTCGATTCTTCTCTCTCTCGATCTCTCTCTCGATCTCTGTCTCTGTCTCCCTCTCTCTCTCGATCTCTCTGGATCTCTGTCTCTCTCGCACAATCTCATTCTCTACGTACACATTATCTGTACTTTTTTTTGAATAATTTTTTTCTCCTAAAAATCTCTCTATACAAGTATATATATGAATTTATATATGTATCTCTATGTATTGATTGAATAATCATCCTTATTTTGTTTTCAGGCTCACGAATGATCCAATCGTTGATCGGCAGTGACGGAAACAATTATGAAGGTTTTTGGCAGATATTGCTTTCATATGCTTCATTGTTTAACCCAGTTGATCATTGGTCTTAACATTATGAAACTTTACTCATTAAATGCCATCATTTATGGATACTTCTCTCTCTCTCTCTCTCTTTCTATACATATATATATATATTATTTTGTGTAGTTCTCTAAATCCAACATGTGTTTTCCTCTGCTCACCTAGATTATGAAAGTTTTGAGAAGCTAATTAAGCAATGTCATGAATTAAAACTGTTACAGTGACTTTCCTCTTTTATTTATTTTTCTATTCACTTCAGAATAGTTGTGCTCTCTTAAGCTAATTAAGCTAGTTGTGCTGTCTTCAGAATAGTTGTGCTCTCTTAAGCTAATTAAGCTAGTTGTGCTGTCTTCAGAATAGTTGTGCTCTCTTAAGCTAATTAAGCTAGTTGTGCTGTCTTCAGAATAGTTGTGCTCTCTTAAGCTCATTAAGCTAATTAAGCTAGTTGTGCTGTCTTCAGAATAGTTGTGCTCTCTTAAGCTAATTAAGCTAGTTGTGCTGTCTTCAGAATAGTTGTGCTCTCTTAAGCTAATTAAGCTAGTTGTGCTGTCTTCAGAATAGTTGTGCTCTCTTAAGCTAATTAAGCTAGTTGTGCTGTCTTCAGAATAGTTGTGCTCTCTTAAGCTAATTAAGCTAGTTGTGCTCTCTTAATAATTTTTCTATTCACTTCAGAATAGTTGCATATGGTCTGTCATTTTTTGGATGTTACAATTCACAATTTCATTGTCTTGGCTCTCAGGGCTGCTATGTATGCATCATTATTGGTTATTGTGAATGAGGAGACATGTGAGTGACTTTTCTGGCTAAAACTGCAATACTTGGCTTAATCCATTTACTTGGGCTGAAACTTTACATGCAATCTATGATGTCATCTTTTTTTCTACTTTGTCTTTTACAGGGCAGAAGCTATAAAGAAAGCAAATGGTGTTCTTTTTTCCGATGAGGTTGATTTATATTTCTAGTTTCTTAGCATCACATTTATATTGTTTCGTTTTCTTTTCTGTTGTTGTAATCTAGATTGTACTGCATTCTACCTCCCACCTCTGCAGTTTTC